CCCCATGTAAGCACCTCCTCCTCCCCTCTCACCCCCCTCTCCCCCACTAGAGCTGACCGTGTGTGTCCACCCATCTGCCAAGTCCTATCGCCCCCCACAAATCCCACTGTTGTCTCTATGGTCACCTCTTGTGGGCGCCCCACGCGAATTCCTGGCGGTTGGCGGGTGGCTTTGGTTTACGGTACCTTGATTTATCCTTGTGTATTCCATTATATCACTCTCGGCTTATTGGTTCATATCGAACCTTCTCAGTCATTGTTATGTTAATTGGGTTGTTGTAAGTGTAAACAGGGCTGGAATCGAGTAATATAATGATTATAATATCACTTATGTTCTGTGGAATAACAATGGAATTTACAAATTAAATTTTGTGTGTTTTTTAAAGTTTTTTTTTTAAAGGCGGAGGGTACTGCTTAGTTTAGTGGATTGTTTAATAACAATTAATTCTTTTCTTTCCTCCTTCTCGGATAAGGGTGAAAAGAACTCGGACTTCCCGTGTGCAAGTAGATACTTTCTTTAGTTGTGGTTTTCTATTTTCTTTTCTTTTTTTAAGGAAAAGGTTGGGGAGGGGGATCTGCATAATTCAAACTATGTTAACTTGAGACGTTTATATACATACGTAATCATCAAAAAGACAGGGGCGGAGTGGGGGTAGAGGAAGGAACAGACAGACATAGAGAGTTAAAGAGATGGGGATAGGAAGTTTTTATCTGTATGTGTGTGTGTGGAGGGGGGGGGGGGCAGTGAGGCTGAAATCGATTGATACTCATTTATTACATGTATTGACTTTGAAAGTAAAAAGTATGAGACAAAGACAACGAGCTCTTCGTCGTAAGTGATGACACTGATTAACGGCTTCCCTTGAGAGGCGCTTCTGGGTTTTAGAATTACACAATAATATGTAGCCTCTATGGGTTTGTTTTTTTCTCTCAAGGTGTCTTACCTTTGCTCGAACAAGGAAAATGTAATAATTGTGTATGCTTTACATGCTGGAAAATAATATGACATTGTTTTCCCTTTGGAAAGCGTCCTTGAGAAAAACGACTTTTTAAAGAAAAGATAGAGAGGATTTAGTAATTTTGTAACGACATAATTATTATAATGCGTGTGGGAATGATTGCGGTTTTCTTTGTCACTGGGAGAGACTAGAAGAATATTTCTTTTTGTTTTCGCCATCTGATTTTTTTAGGGGAAAGGGGGGGGGGGTGTCAGATTTAGAAGAAAAAAATACTACTGCACGTACCTGAACGCTTTTTTGAATGGACCGTTGAACGTGACGAGAGAGAGAGAGAGAGAGAGAGAGAGAATG